GTGAACCCAGTCTGGAAAACAGCACGCAATAAGGACATTGGCTAGAGCGGTTGTCGCAAATAAGACTACGTCCTAACTTTGGACGAATGTTGTGGCAACACCAAGACCCGTTGCCTGCACAACAACTCCCCAGACTCCCTAAAGGTCCCAAGAAATGGAACAGAGGGCTTCCCCGGCGCTCGACCCGCAGAGCGGGGTCGGCGGATTATGGGGGTATGATAGGGGTATTGTTGGGGTATTCTGGGGACAGAGTCCCGAAAATGTTTCCTTCAGCTTGACCAGCCCAGAGTCCTGACCAAGTTTTTTTTGGGAGGAAGCCAGTCATCTCCACATAAGGTTGCAATATTGGGATCCACTCCTGCGAGAAAGTGGGACGCTGGCAGGAGGCTGCTTGGTGGGATTTTTTGGGATTACTGGTAAGTGTGCGTGTGAGGCGTCCTTTGAGTAGACCACGAAGATCTCAACTTCTGCAATCTGATGGGGCTGGCAGCAATCAGTGCAAGACATTTTCGCAATAATGAGAATCTTAGAAATAACATTTGTAATAAGATGAGTAGTGATGGTACTACGACAAGTAGCAGTAATGAAAATAGATACGTACGAATATGAAGAACATATGTTAATGGTAATAACAATAATAGAAGTGCCAAGCCAGCCTTCCATGTGCACTGCTCTGTGAATGCCCTCGACAGTCTGAGGCCCCAAGAGCTATTCAGAGGTTGTGGTAGAGGACAGTTGCTGATAGCAGCTCAGCTCCAGAAAAACACAAGCAGCATACGATGTCACAGCTGCATGCCGGCCCGAACAAGGGCTTCAGCAGCCATTGTTCTTATCACTAATTTCTAAGTAGTATTCTTTAACCTTTCTTGTCAGCTTGTTATTATTAGTATTGTTACTATGACTACTGTTATTGCTACTATGTTGTAGCTCCTATTGCCAGTGTTTTTAGCACTCAAATCCCTTCCATCTGCTGGTTGCAATGGAGACGCGCCCCAGAGCCATGGACTGGCCTCCAGCCACTGACCAGCAACTAATAGAAGTATTAATAGCAGTATTAATAAAGATATTGGTAGTAGTATTAGTAGTAATATGAATGGAAATGCAACATTAATAGTAATGCCGATAATAATAGTACTGGTAATCATGATAGTAGTAATGACAGTAATAATACATGAACGGTAATAATCATAGCAATAGAAATAATGAGAGTATTCATAGTAGTAGTTATAGTCGCAATAATAGTAGAGATACTCGCAATAAGAATAGTAGTAACAGAAAATGATGGGGGTGCACAGTAGTGATGGAAAAATGGCAGCTGCTATTTTCAGCTTCTCAAAACCCCCAAGAGTGTTACCGTTGTTCACGGTTCAGGATTTAGAGGGTTCCCTAATATATCCCTAGACGCACACACACACACATATATATGTATATAAGCTATAGTCTAAACTCCTTAAAGGGGGGGTATATAGGCATTATATAGGGGATTAAGATAGGGCTTATTAAGGGGGATACTAGGAGTTTAGACTACAGCTCATATGAGACAGAGTAGAAGTTTGTCAGAATCTTGCTTTCTGTTGGGGTCTCCAGCTCAAAATTGGCATTCGATCTTAGGGTTATCTAGGGATTATGTAGGCATGATACGGGGGTGTCATAGGGTCTTTTCGGGATTGTACACAGATTATTCGACCTAATTTTCATAGTCAATTTCAGCTTCTGTTCCTGCCACAAAGCTCCAACGCCCTCCCAAAAAAAGCTGGAAGAGCTTCAGAATCACTGAGGCTTTAAATGCGCGAGAGGCCCAAGCAGCGTTTGACATGGTGCTAGACCAAAAGCTGCTTGGAATCATTACTGAACATTCCTGAAAGTTGCTACTGCTATCTCGTGCTCAACCACGCAGCAACTTGTATTTTCTGGAGGCGTGGTATAATTTCAGATCTTCAGTGCTGTAAGGAAAGTGAGACAGACCTGATTATTGGTTGGAAAGATGCTTCAACAGGCTTGTGGCACAAGGTATTCTGACCTTCATGGCTGGGTTCAGAAGGGTTCCAACTCCTTCATTGCGGGTTTGTGGATACAATGTTCCGCATCTCGCCGTTGCCCATCGATGGGCTGCTTGAGTTTCAGTACAAAGCTACATGAATATTGCTAGCTCGCGGAAAGCAGAAGATCCTGTTTGCCTCAGGATCCCAACGGTTTCGCACGTTTTTCTTACCATTAAATCATCATGAAAGTTCCTTGCGAGAGGAAGCTTTGCTCAACAAATCCGACCTGGATGAGTTTTGGGGCTCAAGTCGCTCTCTTGGGGCTGCGTTGGGGGCGCAAGCGCGCTCCCCGGGGCTTCTTTGGACCAGGAGTCTGTTGTAGCTGCAAACCCTGCAAATTGTATTCGCTGCACAGTCGTTGTTGCTCTGAGCGAACGCACAGCTTTCGTTTCTGCTGCTGGCTCTCAGGTCACTGCTTACAAGTATCCGTAGCAGGGTTCAGGAGTGAGTAGCACGCGTTCATGCCGAGACCAAGTCATGAATACATTGCAGATCTTAGCTAACTTAGAAGCCTCAGGCCTCCTTCATCTGTAAACCCACCTTGCTTTGGTCCAAGGTTGGCAGCACTGCGCATAGCCCTCTTGGAGGAGCATCGTCGTCTCCTCCTCCGCTTCACGGACCACAATCAGGCCCTCAACGTTTTGTGCAAGGAACAAAGAGCAGCAAGGTGTGGTCAACTTTGGGCGCCGTTGAGATCCTTGAGAGTTCACTCAGGGTGGTTAACAGGCTTGAGTTTCAGTCCACCTCTCTGGAGGCTAACGGCTTTTACCGAGTGGCCAACATCCTATCCGTCCTAGCATGTCCTAGCCATCCTTGCAAAGCAACTTGCATTGGATTGATCAGGTACTGTCGCCGCGGCCATCGCTGATCTCCAAGTCCGAAACTACGTCCGTCATGGACAGCAGTATCGGTGATAGCGACAACTACTACCGCCCGGAGGCATCCAGCATTCGTGGCCCAATGTCCCAGCAAGCCGGCTGCTAGTCTCCATGCAAACCTTCCATCCTTAAACAAGCGAGACGCCTAGCGGCACTGTTAAAGCAGCAGCCCTGTTCTCATGCTTCGAGATGTCAAGTGCGTGTGGACGTCGTGGCAGGTCAAGCCACTAGCGCTGGCGTCCAGCCAGCTGGAGAGTTTCCCACGGGCACCGCCATCTCTGAATGGGCTCGAGGCGCAAGCGCTAAGTCGGCAGATCAGCTTTCTGAACTCCAGCTTTCAATGTCGGAAAAGTGAGTGCAAGGGGTCCGCTGCAGGATGAACCAGAGGAGCCGCCTCCTGCTGACTTTCCAGAGTCCAATGGAGTGCTGGGCCCTCAGAATGTTTCCAGGCATGTGACATGCCCACGTCAAGCCTGCTACTTGCATTCTCAGGTCGCCCATGAGTCACCTGCGCAACTCCGCGTCGAGCTTGTCAGTGTCTGCAATTAAGGAGGGGTGAGAGGGGGAACTGGGCCAGCACCTTGGTGCACCCGTGTTTGATTATAGCCTTCACCTACTGCCTCAACTCTGCTAAACTTAGCCGAAAGGACCCCAACAAGACGAGTGTCAAGAAAACTGTCACCTTCCTGCCGCACATCGAAGTATGCGAGCCGGATGCTCAGTTGGGCATATCTTCTGGTCCTGTCTGGAATTTGTCGCTTTGAGCTTGTTTGCTTTTGGCACTGCTTGCGCAAGAAGCATGAAACTGCGAAATGGTTTATTCCGGTCATCGCTGCCGGCTTGCGCGACTGTTGTGCTAAGGTATATCAGCATGGAGTCTCAATCCTCTAGCGAGCTGCGTGCACTTTGGAAATGGCCAGACGAGAACGATCCGGAGGAGGACATTTCCAACCCCCAAAGCTTGATTGAACGCTCCCGCGGCAGCTCCCGGCAGGACACGGAAGACCTCTTGCACGAGTTGGGAGTCACCTCAAGCCGGGGAACTCGGCGAGCAGCGGAAAGCTGATGAAATTGCCAAGGGATGAAGGGCAGATGAGGGCAGTTGGCTTTTTGCGTCAGGCTTTCACTATCAGAACCAGTGCGTTGCCACGCTGTCCAAATGCGTCACCCAACCGATGTCTCGCAGAAGGCGAGGTCTCCCTGCAAGAATTTCCCATCCCGGAAGGGTCTAATATATAATGATATGTATCAAACTTGGGCTCTGGAGGAAACCCTAGTACCATCCTGGACTCTGAATTTCAAATGCTGACAGTGCCATGTAGTGCCATGCAAAACCCCTTGCAGGATGGTGTGGGACTCCATAGCGCTGATCATCCTGGCCGTCGAGGTCATCTCGCAGAGCCCTCAGTGAGCTGCAGCCGAAATTGGACCGCTCTTTGTTGCACTCCATTCCTGGGGGCCCATCTTAGGGGATCCAGGCGTCATCCCCAGTGGAGCCATGGTTCGATTGTAACAGCATGTCCAAGGTTTCCACTGGGCGCCTTTGAGCAGATCGAAGCCTTGATGTCTTCAGAGCCAGCATTTATCGTCATGGACTGGATCTCCGAACCTCGCCTGAATCTAGGACTGAGTCGGACACTGCGGCATTCTGACATAAGGCATGGAAAAGAACGTGACAGCTGCCTCACATATTCTTTGGGGTTATACAGTGACCGCAATAAGGAGACCCGAACAGTGCATAATGTGCACATCGATGCAAAACGTTGAGGTAATCTGGTAATCTGAATCATGGTCAGCCTGCTGGCAAGGCATGCTACTGGCTGTTGGATATGCCCATCCAATTCTTTGCTGGCTTCAACACCGTAGACGCCACTTGGCTGCCTAGGTTGGCTTTATGCAGCCAGCTCCCAACAGTCTTGGCCATGCACGGATTCTGAAATGCCGGATAAGGAGAAGGGCATGCAGGGCCAGCCATGCAAACAACAGCTGCCCATTGTTGCGCAGGGGAAGATTGAAAAGCGTTTCGATCGGACAGCTCTTCGATACTTGAAGTCGTGGTTCTGCTTGGACCTTCTTATCGTACCTCGACTGAAGCTGTCTGCTGTCACGTTGTGCCAGCAAGATACAGGCTTGATTCGGAGTGAAGTGAAGAATGCTGCTGAAGCCATTCAGCTAGCCTTGTGTTTTGCAGTTTTGGAGGACTCTTTGCCGCTTCTCGGAAGTAGTATATTGGGGTACAGGAGCCGAAAGCTGTTTGCCGAGGTCAGCCTGGATTGGGCCTCGCTCGTTGGCCATTACAATGCGGAGTTCTTGGAAGCTCTAAGATCCTTGGAGGCAGATCTGCCAGATCTCTTCTGGCCGAGCAGCGCAGAAAGTTTAAAGTCAGCAATCCCTGGAGCAGATGCCTCAGGCAACAGCAAGAGTAAAAGCTCTTGTCTGCCAATCTAAGGAGTTGGCAAGACCGTCCGTGGCATCCGAATTGTGCGAGGAAGTCTAGCCGAGCCTTTTGATGCTTTGCTTTTCCCCAAGAACGCGTTGCAGCCAGGAGTTCGAATCCTTCGCCTGGCCAAAGTGGCAACTTAGCCTGCAATGCAAAGGGGCTACCTCCGCGATGGGTGGCCTTTCACTCAGGTCATATGAACTGGATGAAATCCGTGAGTTCTTCGCAACATAAGCCTGAACGATGCAGCATTTTCCACACTGCACTTCCTCTCAAATCATTGAAGATATTAGAAGATTGCCAGCTGCAAAAAATGCTCACCCACGAAACCCAACAAGTTTCCGAGAGAAAAAACCGTAGTCCTGTCCCTCAGAAGACAACATAAGACGAACATGTTTGGCTGCGGTTGTGAGTGGACCGCTGACACCAACAGAGATGATACCTTTACACCTGAGCTGAGCACAAAAATGTGCTTTTTCGCAGGCGGCTGACCAGACAATGAATCAGCTGTGTAGCAAAATGAAGGGCATTAGCCTAGCACTGCTCTGTGCTGCTGAGGGAGCACCGCCAATGATTCAAATCACTGCTCCGGCCCTCGAGTCATTCTAATGCATCCAAAGATGCGCTGCTTTTTGAGATCACAACATTTGATATGAGATCTCGATCTTAGAGCAACCTTGGGCCTAAGCAATTATGCTATTGGAGAACCAAATGGACAAGGCAATGGACAACTAAGCGGAAACGTGATTTATGCCGAGTTTATCGATATGGCCTTTTTTGTTGGCCCCAAGGCGCCAATGCTGCAAAATATAGCCGATTCCCTGTACGGTGACTTGAACGTTCTCATCTTCAAGATTGGCAGCATTGTTGGATCTGCTGCTGAGCAGCAGGCTATTTTGAAGCGGTGGGGGTTCTGGTTGCAAGGTTTTGTCCATCTAATCTACCTTGCTTTAATTCATGCCCCCAACATGTTGCCTCAAATCTTGCAGTCTTGGAGAGGAGCTGATAGTCCTTGTCATTTGTCGACATGCCATGGTTATTCAGCCAAGCATGAAAGCAAGATGCCCCTACCAAAAAATAAACGTGGAACGTAATGTCCTGTTGACACCTTTTGCAGGAGAGTAAGATCCAAATTGCCTTGCGGTTGTCTTCTCTTTCTACAAGGTACTGCTTTTGCCCCCTCCCACATAGCCCCCAAAGTAGTCTTGCGACAAAGGGACATGGGGATTGTCCTAAATTACTGTCAATACGGGGTCCCATATTTGGGTTCCTATTATAATATGGGGCCCTATACATATTTCCCCCATTTTGGGAACAGTAATTTAGGGAAACTTCCACATATCATGCTGAGACGCCTGGAGCTGAGGTCGTTTGCGTAAACCATTTCATTGCTTGCTTCTGGTATTGGCTGGGCTCCTTCACCGGAGAAGGTGGCTCGGGTTGTCTGCCTGTCTTTGTGGGCAGTGTGCTAGAACGAAAGAACAATATGGGCGTTTCATTTCAAATGTCCACCGATTGCAGGAACAAGCATTCTGGACTAGGATTTGTTATGGCAGTTCCTGCTTAAGTTTTGTTTACGAATATTTCACACTTTTTCTGCTCAGTTGTGTCACTGATCAGGTTGTAGCGAAAGAAGGGGATAAACAGCCCAGACCCCAGCTAGGCCCTGGAACTCAAACCCAAGCCCAACAAGAACTTTGAACATGAGAATCTTACCCGAAACCCCAGTATGCACATGCCCAAACCCAAAACCTTAACCCCAAGGCCCCTCCCCGCCCTTAACAGGAGAAGACACAAACAACCAAGAACGCATTTGAAGCCCTGAACCTGAAACGCGGGCAGCCAGGTGGGCTTCCCAGCTGGACCACTGATGTTCAGGCTAGCACAGAATCCGCTGGCTACCAATACGTGACTGGGAGGGCACATGGGTAATTCTCAAGATTTTGGCGACCTTTTTGGAGTCGTTTTTCAGCTGTTGTACGGTCTCTTGAGGCTGGATTTTTCATTGCCCAACTGAAGTGGCCTCAAATCCGTTTCGTTGTCTTCGCGCGTCCATCACGTCACACCAGAGGCATATGGGGGTGTTTGTGATCAGGATGCCAAAGTTTTTGGATATGGACGCGATATGTAATTGAGATGTATTCACTCCTGGCCTAGGCCGGCTTTGCGTGAGCCTGAGCCCCTGTACATGTCTTGGCCAAGAATGGGGCCCAACTCCAGCGCATATGCCACCACCGCAAGAATTGTCATTGTGTGAATCATGGGATTCGGAGCACTCTGATGCGGTTGCCTGCTTGTGGCTTCAGATCAATCCAGGATGTGCAGCACTTTTAAGTACACTCAGGACAAGATCACGATTTCCAGGAGTTGTGTTTGCAGGTAGCTACCGACTTCGAAGCTTTGGACTTTCGTTGTTCTCCGCGTAAACAGGGCGTGTTGCTCTTCACAGGTTAAGAGCCTTGTAGCCATGGACCATGAGGGTGGTACTGGGACTGCGGGCCGAAGCGGGCTTGAGGATGAAGCGGCTGGTGAACCGGAAGCGGCCTTGGAAGAAGCCGCGACTGAAGTGCCTAGGGTTGCGGCGGAGGTACCAAATCCTTTTTGGTCGGATAGAGCCGCAGATGAGTTCATTCTCAGGCAGGCCCGACCTCTGGAGCTGGCCGAGTACGACGACCGACAGTTAGAGCCCGACTATGCCGCATCTGACACGGCGCGGAGTGGAGGGCTCAGATCACTGGAGGCAGTAAGTGTGCGTGCTCAAAGCCCCGCCCCAAGAGGCGAAGAACGCCCCCTGGAAGTTCCTCCAGGGAGAGCATCGTCTGGCGTGCCTTCGGTGTCTTCGAGGTCAAGGAGCCCCGTTAGAGAGGATTACATTTCGATGAGGGAACTGTTGGTTTCTTTCGGTGGCGCTATTGCTAGCTTGGCAGAGGAACACCGGCATACTCAGCAAAGGCTTGCCAGAGTAGAAGAAGCGCAATCGGGAAGTAACTCCTCTATGCGTACTGGTAGGGAGGACAACGACAGTGGCACAGTTAGAGTTGCGGATCTTGGTGTAGGCCCCCAATTCTATCAGATAGGCGAAGAAGAAAGTGAACCACTAGGTGGTCTCCGGGCTGGGGGGTTACCTTTAGAGGACTGGGTGCAAGAACCTCTTAGATAGGGGGATATACCTGTAGCTTCAGCCTCCGTACCCCAGGGAGCTCCCAGATCGTACGGCCCGGACTCGTCGAGGGGTATGGATTTATTAGGTTTAGAAAGTAGGAGGGACACGTTAGCCCTGGAAGCAGGTGTGGGAGGTTCGGGTTCGGCCCAGGTAGGTGCTCGTTACGGCACTGGCTTCCCCGCTCAGGTTCCAGGCGGTGTGGATGCAGGCTCGGCCCAGGTAGGTGCTCGCCCGATCCAGGTGAGGACGGAAGGTGTACCCAGAGGTGCCCAGGTGTCAGGTCTCGACAGCGCAATTCGTTCGGCCCAGGTGCAAGGTCTCGACAGCGCAATTCGATCGGCCCAGGTGTCAGGTCTCGATAAGGTAGATCATTCAGCCCAGGCGTCAGTTTTTGACGGTGCAATTCGGTCGGCCCAGGTGTCAGGTCTCGACAGCGCAATTCGTTCGGCCCAGGTGCAAGGTCTCGACAGCACAATTCGATCGGCCCAGGTGTCAGGTCTCGATAAGGTAGATCATTCGGCCCGGTCGGCCCAGGTGTCAGGTCTCGACAGCACAACTCGATCGGCCCAGGTGCAAGGTTTCGACCGTGCAATTCATTCGGCCCAGGTGCAAGGTCCCGATCGGCCCAGGTAGGTGCTCGAACATGGCAAGCAGGCGTTGCGGCGCAACAGGGGGATTCGGGACAACTTGAGACTAGTATGGAGCAGAGGGTCACCGTATGGGTGGAAGGAGTGCCGAGAGTGGCCGTAATGGGTCCTAGAGGTTTGGAGATAAGAGGGTCGGTTGCAAGCGAGTCACAGAATCCTTTCTCTTCAACTACCGGGAGGCACCCGTTTGAGGCTACACCTCCGCCTCCGCCTCCTCCACGGAGGGACAGCTTCTTGTTCGGTCCTTCGCAGTCTCCGATGACCCCAAATGGAACGAGAGTGCCTAAGGGACCTCCTCCTCCTGATAGGTTGGAGTGGCCGGAATGGGCAGCCACAGTAGGGGAAGTAGCTGGGATATTAGGACATAAGCCCATACCCCCTCCGCCTTCTCTCCCGCCTGGCATGTGCACAAGTGATGCCCATAGTGCTCCGGAGTCTTCGACCAAGCCGGAGGAACCGTCGAGGGCGGTCACGGAACTGCCTGATCTCCCGGGGGAGTGTGTTAGCTGGGGATTGGGTGACACAGCTGACGCCGGTAGTCGGCACTTTGTCTCCGACTTCGGGTCTTTACTGCTCGGAGGTCCTCAGAGGGCGTACGACCTGTACACACGATGGTTAGGGGCTGATCCCGTGCAGCGCCTCAGCATAAAGGCCGAAGCCAATGGTTGGGCGTGTGCCTCTCCGAAGCATGTGTTGATTGCGCGAAGGTTGACAGTTCTCCTGATGAGGTCGGTGCCGGCTGAAATTCGGAATGAGCTTGTGGCTGTCCGGGCGATGACGTCCATGGCGGTGCTGGTTGCAGTGTTAACTCGGTACCAGCCGGGCGGAAAGAGCCAACGTTCTGGCTTTCTTGGTGGCGCCGGAGCGTCCTTCTACCATAGAGGGAGGGATAGGCGCTTGCAGGAGATGGCTGCGTCAGCTGCAAAGAGCCAAGGAGCTGAATCTGATGCTTCCCGACGCCACCCTTCTGATTAAGGGAGCTGATTCCTTGTTGGGTCCGGTCCTCACGAAGAGCCAGCAGTCTGTGTTTCGCCTGAATTCCTTTCGTAATGAACGGAAGTTGGATTATGCCCCGACGTATGAAGCTATCGTAGCCTTTGGGCAGTTAATCCTTGCCGAGTATGAGCTTTTACAGCATAGTGAGCCGGCGGAGCCTAAGAAGCCCAGGATTAACAAGGCGATAGAGGCCGATGAGGAAGGACAGCCCAAAGGAGGAAAAGGCAAGCAGGGACAAGGGAAGCCGGGCGGAGCAGATGTGGGGTTTGGTAAGGGTGCTAAAGGCAGCGGTGCTACTAAGGAGTCCGGCAGGGTCCCGTCTAAATACTGGTGCGTAACCGATATGGGATGTGTTAAGGCCTCTAAGTGCCCGGACGTGCATAATAAAGACTTGCTTAAGGGGAGCGCGCGGTGTTGGGTATGCTCCAGCACGCAGCACCAGAAGCAGGATTGCCCAAGGCTGATCAAGGAGGCTCCTGAAGATGCAGCCCCTAAAACGAAGGGTGGAAAAACCAAGCCTCAGCCTAAGGTCAAGGCAGCCAAGGGTGAGGAACCCCCCGCATTGGCCCCCAGCGCCCAACAGATTCTGCAAGACACAGCAGCCCTGTTGAAGAATCTTCGTGTCAGCAAGCTTGGCCGTGGTCAGGAGTCCGCGCGTGCTCTTTTAGACTCCGGAGCCACAGCCTGCGTGAGGTCCGCCCCTGAGCGTGAGCTTCAAGGCTTGCCGGAACGGATAGTGCAACTTGCTCAAGGTGAAGTTCGCCTAAGGGTGAATGCTGGAGGAACACTCCTGACGTCGGAGAATGTGGACCCCACAGTGTCCCTGCATCGCCTTTGCCAGATTGGGTATAGGGTTAACTGGACTAGGGAAGGTGGATGCTGCGTTAAGGGGCCCGGCAACCAGGACCTCAGGGTTTACATGGATGGGGGTTGTCCAGAAATTGACCGGGAGGTGGGGCTGAGGCTTATCCATGAAATTGAGGTGGCCTATGTCCGGCAGGCTCAGGCAGTTCGAGTTCTTCGAGAAGGGGGAGCTGGTCATGTGAGCTTGCAAGACGCATTGCGTGCCCTGCCTGTTGATGCCTCCTTGGCGAGACAATACCTGGCTCAGAAGTTTCCCTCTCTGCCCTTGGAAGTGCTGGCCCGAGTTCCGGTTACGTCGGAGTACGATGCCTCAAAGGTTGTATGGAACCGCAGGCAGCGGCGTACGTGGTTGAGGTCCCAGGCTGTGGCCCTACACCTCTCAGGTCCTTCCAAAAGGTTTTGGGAGATTCCACGGACTAATTCTCACTGTGTGTGTGTTGACATCCAAGAGAACCTTATGGACGACCATACGTATGCATATTTGCAATCCCTGGCAGTGTCTGGCCAACTGGCCGCAGTGTTCGGTGGACCACCGTGCAAGACCTTTTCTTTGTCGAGGTACATGCCACCGGGATTGCCGAGACCCATCAGGGGGAGATCGCTACAAACTCAGTGGGGTTTCGAGGGATTGTCGCCTAGTGAAAAAGAAGCCATTCTGGAAGACGGGATCTTGATGTTCCGCATGGTCTGGCTGTACTTGATTGCCGAAGCGGTTGCCGAGGAGTTAGGAAAACCTAGGCCGTTCTTTGGCATGGAACAGCCAAAGGACCCAGAGTCGTGGGTCCGTCCTCAGAAAATGGGGATAGAGCAGCCGCGGGAAGGCTTCTCCTCGTGTTGGGCTCTTCAGGCCATTCAGGATCTCGCTGCCGAGCACCGTTTCCATTTCTGGCATTTTGATCAAGGTCCTCTAGGACATGAAAGGCGAAAGCCAACCACGATCATGTCTACCGAGCCGCCTCCTCCTGACGTTTTGGTCTCGGGGCCTGGCCATGGTGTGCCCTCTGCGCAGCCCGTAGCCGACGGGTCACGTGATCAGTGGGTTTAGGCAGCTTGGGCCGCTTGGGCGCCTCAACTTAGGGCATAATTAAACGCGAAGTCATCTCTGCCCTAGATGCCTGGACCTCCGTACAATGCAAAGCCCTGAGGGACCACGAGAATTTCTTGAGGCATGTCGTTCAGGGTCACGTGGACTTTAGGCGGGACTGCTCCGCATGCCTGGCAGGTGCAGCGCGAGGTGA